GAAGATGAAAGAAATAAATATATTAAATGACAGTATCTTTATAATGAAGAAATGAGAGAAATGAATAACAATAAGAAATAGATAATGAATAAAAATGAATAACAATAAAAATGAATAAATAAGAATTAAGAATATATAAGAGAATATGATGAATAAAACAATAATCAGATAAAAGAAAATAAGAATAAACTGTAAAATGAAAAGAATGAAGATGAATGAAGTGATAGAAATGAAAATAAATTGAAGAATAGAATAAAAGTAATGAAAAAACATAAAAGAAGAATCTATGATAAAAACAACAAAATAATATAATTAGAAAAGTGAATAAATATAATATGAATCGTAATTATAACAATAAATCATATCATCTCATTTATATCATCAAATAGATTGTATAAGTAAATAAATAGAATAAAAGTGAAATATGAATTGAAATTAATGATGAATGAATATAAATGATAAAATGATCAATTAATATAATATAAAATAATATTAAAATATATTCTACTTGAATAGTTTTATATGTTATATTCTTCATTTAAATAATTGAGTATTCTACAACATAGATATTAATTGATTGATTATAAATTATCAAAAAATAAAATATAGTTTAAATATATAATATTTAATAATAATAATATAGTTTAATAAAATAAATAAAAAATAGTAAATTATAATAAATTAATAATAAAAAGAAGAAATTAAAATGAAATAATATAAATAATCATAATAAATTATAATGAAATTAAATATGAAATAGTTTTAAATCTAATAATATTTAAATTATTTATATTTTTTATTTATTATTATTTTTATATTCATTATTTCATCTTCTTATCTTTCTTTATTTTCATTTTCTTCATTAATCTCTCCATTTCTTTTATTTATTCAATTTATAATTATCATATTAACACATGTTTATTTTATTTATTAATTGATTTAGATTTAATTTATTTAACAATTTGTTATTTCATGAATATTTAATTCATATGAATGAAGTTGATTTAATTAACAAATATCATTTTCATTCATTATGATATTTGTAGTATTTATTAACAATCTTATATTTTATTATCACACATTCAAATACAGATAGTTTAAAACAAATTAGAAATAGATAAATAATAATAAGAATGAAATGATGAAATGAATGAATAAATGATGTATCACTATTTAACTACATCAATACATTTAATTCTAACAAAACACAAATTATAAATATATAACAAATTACTAATTGAATTAATATCATATTTAACAAACAACTTCACATGATAAATATAAAAAGAATAAATAATAAAAGAATAAATCATGATAAGAATACACAAAATGATAATGATAATAAATATAAATAAAATCAATAAAATAACAAACAATAAAATAAAACAATGAAAACAATTAAATAATACAATATATAATAAATATTATATATCATTTGTTTGAATCTTGTTTCTTAATAAAAAATAAATAATAAAAAATAATAAAAAAAGTCAAGATTCATAACTTAAAAATAATTTAATTTTAAATTTAAAATAAAAAGAAGAACTAATAAACAACAACAAATCAAGAATGAAATTAGGATATAATGAAATAATGATAACATCAATGTATTTTAATGATATTAATGATTTTATTAATTTAGAAATAGGAATTAAAAAATTTCAAGGAAATATGGAACGATTTCATTTTAATCCAATTCCATTAGATGAATATTCAAGAAAATTGTTTCCTAATATTGAAACATTTCATATTTATGAAGAAAATGATGAAATATTTAATGATAGAAAAATATTTAAATATGTAATATGGTATTTAGTAAGTTATTCAAAATATTTACAAGAGAAAGAAGCAGGAAATATCTGTAAAAATATAGAATATACAAAAGAAGATAGAAAATCATATGGAAATATAATACCATCAGAAGTTAAATCACTTGGAAATAGTTGTTTTAAACATTGTTATGAATTAAGATCAATTAATATACCATCATCTGTTAGTAAATTAGGAAATGGATGTTTTAAATATTGTTCATCATTAACATCAATTAATTTACCATCATCAATTACATCAATAGGATATAAATGTTTTTATGAATGTTCATCATTAACATCAATTAATATACATTCATCAATTACATCATTTGGATGTGGATGTTTTTATAAATGTGGATGTGAAGAAGAATTAATGAAAAATAAAAGAGTAACAAGAAAATGTTTTGAATGGTGGATTCGAATGTGGTAAAACTATAACAGATGAAATACAATATAAATTGAAGTAGAAATAAATTATAATTGATTATCATTTATATTGTTATGTTATTCTTTTCTTATTTATTCATTTTTATATTGGTGTATTATCATTTAGAATATGTTATTAACACAATCTAATAATTAACAGTTAAAAGAATAGTATTAATGATTTATGATAGATTATTTATAAAATAGTTAATTATGTATTGAAATTAATACTATCAATATTGTCCAATATCTTACAAAATATGTTTGTTATGATGGAAACAATGTTATATAATATCAATTTTATTCTTTATTTCAATGTTTTTAAATTATTTAATCATTTCATTTTTAATTCTTTTATTAATTTAATCTTCTCTACATTCACTAACACACTGATAGAAATAACTACTTAGATTAATGTTTATCACTTTTATTATACTTTCTATTTGTTCATTTCTTATTTTCTTATTTAACATTACATTTAATCAATTATTTCAATTTCATTCATTTCTTATTTTATTTCTTTGTTTTCTTGTATTTTTCTTTATTTATTATTTATTATTCTTGTTCTTTTACTTCTTTTATTAATTTCTTTCTTTTGTTTATTATCTTTATTTCTTTCTTCTTTTATTATCTTCTTCTTTGTTTTTGTTTTATTTGTTTCTTTAACTTTATTTTTATTTGTATTGAATAGTATTTGAAGATACAATATCAGAAACATAACACAATTAATAAAATGAAATTAAACTTCTAATATCATTATTTATCATTATTTCTTTTATTAAAAATAAATAAATTATTGTTTAATTAATATGATTATTGTTATTCTTCACATTATTGAAATACATTGATGATGTTTAATGTTATTTTATAATTCAATAAATTAAATGAATAAGATTTAAATTGTAGAATTGAAATAAGAATAAAACAAAAGAGATAAAATGAATAATAAAAATAATAATAGATTTAATGATATAAATTCATAAATAAAAACATAATTACAATGAATATTAATACAATGAATAATGAATAATAAAATAATTATAATAAAATGAATTATCAAAACAATGAAATGATGAATATATAATAAATATCATTATTTAATTTATTTATTATTATTTCTTATTTAAATATTCTTTTCTTCATATTATCATCATATTTTATTTCTTTATTTTCTCTTTTATTTCTTATTTTATTTATTTATTTATTGTTCTTGTTTATTATTTATTTCTTTTATATCTTCTTTTCTTTATTTTTATTTTATTAATTTCATTTTCTTGTTTCATTTAATTTATCATTGTTTCTTCTTTTCTTTATTCTATTTATGTTCTTTATTTATTTATTTATCATTATTTATTATTATTCTCATTGTTAATGTATTTATTATAAATATAATGTAATTTTATTTTGTTTGTTAAAATATCTTAATTATTTCTTATTTTGTTATCTGTTCTTTATTTTTATTTCATTTATGTTTTTCTAAACTTATCATTTTATTCTTATTCTTTTAATTATTCTATTTTACTTTCTTCTCTCTTATTTCTCTTCATATTTTATTTTCTTATATATTTTACATTTTCTTTTATCTTTCTTAATTATTCTTTATTTTCTCTTCTTTCTAATTATCTTTCTTATATTTCTAATTTTTCATTATTATACTTTCTTTTACTATTTTATGTTTATCTTCTAGTTAAATTACATTCATTTTATTTCTAATTTCTTAAAATTATTTATATTCTTGTTTTTATTGTTTCTTCTATTTCTTTGTTTGTTGTTTGTTTATTTTATCTATTTATTGTTTTCTGCTTCTTCTCTTTTGATTTTTTCTATTTCTATTTTCTTTATTTCTCTTATTCTTTATTAAAACATCAATTGTTTTATTTATTTCAATTCATTATTACTTTATTTCATTATTATAATTTCTTGTGGTTATTCTTTAATTCTTTTCTTCATCTTTTAAAATATTCAATTTGATGATATTATTGATTTATTCAAAATAACTTATACTCATTCATTAATGTGTTATTTATTATTATGTTGTGTATTTATAAAAAATCAATGAAAAATGAAATAAAAATGAAGAGAAATGAAAAAGAAGGACATGAAAGAAAAAAAGTGAAATTAGGAATAGAAGAAGATGAAAAGAATAAAAGTAGAATGTTGAGAATATAAAATGAAAGAAAATAAAAAGGAATAATTCAAAAAGTGATAATAAAAGATGAAAAGAATGATGAAATAAAGGATGCATTTTTTATTACAGAAATTAGAAATATCCAATAAAAAAGTGTTCTAAAATCTGTTTTATTATTCATTTATATGAAAATTATGTTTGTTTATATTATGTTTTTGTTTTATCATTTTTTATGAAATCAATTAAAAAAATCAAAACAATCAATAATCTAATTGATCAAATAAATAAAATGTAACATATTGTATTTATTTATTGACTTTTCATTATTCTTTGTATTCTTCTTTTGTTTTATTTTCAATAAAAATAATTTTGAATCATTTATATTATTTTCAATTTTATCAATTTTAGAATTATCATATCTTCTAAATTTATTTTATTAATTTTTGATTCAAATATTATTTGTTTTCTTCTTTCTTCACTTTCTTCTATTTATTTTATTTAATATTTTATTGTTGTTATTCATCTCATTCTTTCTAATTTATCTTCTTCTTTCCTCTTCTTCTCAAAATATTCATCATAATATATTTTCATTTCTTCTTTCTTTATCATTTTTTATTTGAAATGATTTTATATATTAGTTTATTTAATGTTTTAATTAATATTTATTATATGAAATATATTATTCTATTCTTCTTTTTATTTTTTATTATTTTATTTATTGTTTGTTTCTTGTTTTTGATATTTTTATTCTATTTCATTAATTTATTAATTATTCTTTCTCTTTTTTAATAGCTTGTTTATATATTTCATTATCTTTCAATTATTTATTTTTTAATATATTTTAAATAGTAATGTTAATATTTATTAATATCATCAATTGTTTGTTGAATATTTGAAATATTTTTACTTCTTCTTTATACAATGAGTAATCTTGTTTATTAACTCTTCAATTTTAATTTAATAATTATAATAATAAAATAAGAATCATAAATAATTAAATACATTTTTAAACAATTTTATTTATTATTTTATTTATTATTTTATTTATTATTTTATTTATTATTTTATCATTCTTTATTTTATTCATTAAATATTTTCTCTTTTCTTTTTATTTTTTATTATTTTGATTATATATTAAAATTATTATTATTTATTATTATTATTATTATTGTTATTTATTATTATTGTTATTTATCTATAATTATAATTAATTAATATTTATTATATTTTATTTTATTATTCATTTTTATTTTCTATTTTTTTATTTTTAATTTCTTTTTC